GACAAAATAAAGACACTATGTCGCGTGGTCTCGTCGGGATCGAATCGAAGACCATTCGCGAGTGAAGGGGAACATGATAACCACTACACTACGGAACCGCTCAAGGGGTCGGGTACATGTTGAAATAAAAGTGACTGACATAAAGCCTATAACTTCTAATGAGATATCATTGACATATATTATGCACTTGAATAAAGCAAATCGTACAGCAAAAAATAGGAAATATCCGCACGCGTAAATTCCGTTCCATTTCAACCTGCTATGTTATTTCATGGGACAAAATGAAGAAATTTTGTAATTTGGTGCCGTCCGGGATCGAACCAGAGACCTTTCGCGAGTGAAGCGAACGTGATAAACTCTATACTACGTAAATGCAAAAGAGGTACTGAACGGCTTGAATTTTAGTGACTAACCTAATACCTATAGTCTAAATTAAATATCTATTCCGTGTATTATGCACGTCATAAAATTAAAGCTTACAATAAAAAATAGGAGATAGCTGCGCGTAAATTGCATCCCATTTTCTACCTGCTATGTTATTTCATGAATAAAATGAAAACATTCTGCCCCGTGGTTCCGTCCAGGATCAACCAGACACTCTCCGTGCGTGAACCAAACGTAATAAACACTAACTACGGAACCTCTAAACAGGTTTTGATCGGCTTGAATTAAACTGATTGACTTAAAGCCTATACTCTAACTTAATTATTTTCATATGTTATGCACGTGATTAAAAGTGAAGAATACAACAAAAATAGGCGATATCCGCGCAAGAAAGTTCCATAATATTTTCAATCTGCTACGTTATTTTATGGGATAAAATTAGAATTCGTCGCCCCATGGTTCCGTCCGGCATCGAACCGGATAACGTCCGTGTGTGAAGCGAACGTGATAACCACTACACTACGGAACTACTCAATAGGTAGGGAAGGACATGAATTAAAGTAATTGACTTAAAGCCTTTACTCTGCATTAGATATTGCCATTTATTATGCACTTGATTAAAGAAAAGCGTGCAGTAAAAATGAGAGATATCCACTCGCGTGAATTCTATCCCATTTTCAATCTGTTATGTTATTTCATGGGACAAAATGATATAACTTCGTATCGTAATTCCGTCCGGGATCGAACGGCAGTCCTTTCGCGTGATTTGAACGTGATAACCACTACACTACGGAACCCCTCAAGTGGGAGGTAACGCCTTGAATTAAAGTAATTGACTTAAAGCCTTTACTCTGACTTAGATATTATTGCCATATATTATGCACTTGATTAAAGAAAAGCGTACAGTAAAAAAGAGATATCCACCCGCTTTATTTCTATCCCATTTTCAACCTGCGTTGCTATTTCATGGGACAAAACGATATCACTTCGTATCGTGGTTCCGTCGGGGATCGAACGTAATAACCACTACACTACGGAACCGCTCAAGTAAGAAGGAACGTCTTGAATTAAAGTGCCTGACCTAAATCCTTTACTCTGAATTAGATATCTATGCCATTTATTATGCACTTGATTAAAAAAAGCGTACAGTAAAAATGAGAGATATCCACGCGCGTGAATTCCATCCCATTTTAACCTAAGTTATTCCGTGGGACAAAATGATAGCACTTAGTCTCATGGTTCGGTCCGGGACCTTTCGCGTGCGTAGCAAACGTGATAACCAATACAGTACGGAACCGCTCAAGTAAGAAGTAACTGCTTGAATTAAAGTGCCTAACCTAAAGGCTTTACTCTGAATTAGATATCATTGCCATTTATTATGCACTTGATAAAAGAAAAGCGTACAATAAAAATAAGAGATATCCACGCGCATAAACTACATCAGATTTTAAACCTGCTATGTTATTTCATGGGATAATACGAAAACACCTTGCAACGTGGTTCCGTCCGGGACCGAAACTGAGGCCATTCGCGCGTGAACAAACGTTATATATAACCACAACCTTACGGAACCACTAAATAAATAAGTAGGGAACGGCTTGAATTAACGTGCCTGACTTACAGACGACATTCTAATTTAGTTATTTTCATATATTATGCACCTTATTAAATTTAAGAGTATAACAAAAAAGCGATATCCGCGCGTGAAAATTCCAACTTATTTTCAACCTGCTAAGTTATTTTATGGGATAAAATTATAATTCTTCGCCCCAGGGTTCCGTCCGGATCGAACCGGAGACCTTTCGCGTGTGAAGCAAACGTAATATCAGTACACTACGGAAACCTTCAAGTGGAAGGTAACGGCATGAAGTAAACCGACGGACTTAGTCTTTAATCTGCATTAGATATCATTGCCATACATTATGCACGTGATTAAAGAAAAGTGTACAGTAAAAATAAGAAATATCCACGCGTGAATTCCATCCCATTTTCAACCTGCTATGTTATTTCATTTGACAAAATGATGTCACTTAGTACCATGGTTCCGTCCGGGATCGAACCGGAGACCTTTCGCGTGTGAAGCGAACGTGATAACCACTACACAACGGAACCTCTAGAATAAGAAGGAACGGCTTGAATTAAAGTGCCTTACCTAAAGCCTTTACTCTGAATTAGATATCATTGCCATTTATTATGCACTTGATTAAAGAAAAGCGTACAGTAAAAAAATGAGATATCCAGGCGCGAGAATTTCATCCCATTTTCAATCTGCTATGTTATTTCATTGAATAAAATGAAAACACTCTGCCCCGTGGTTCCGTCCAGGATCGAACCAGAGAACCTCCGTCTCTGTGAACAAAACGTGATAAACACTAACTACGGAACCTCTAAACAGGTAGTGAACGCCTGGAATTAAACTGACTGTCTTAAAGCCTATAATCTAACTCAGTGTTTCTCAAACTTTCAATACTGGCGATCAATTTTCAGTCATAATTTTGTCGCACCCCCCCCGTACAACAATGTATTTACTGCAAAAAAATGCACTTTGAGAGAGACCCTAAAGTTACAATAGGATCTTTAATTATAAACCGTACAAATTAATACGATAAGCATATTAAATTTTGTATATGTTACTTTTAAGTAATATATATTTTAAGAAAATTACTTAAAATATATATTACCTAGAATTATGTTATTTTCTTTTTCTCTAATTTTTAAATTGGAACAGATCGCAAAATGAGGTATTTAATTAAAGATTTATTTCCTTCAGCATTCATTTCTCAAAGTACATATGTCATTAGAAAAATAGTCTAGTCTATGTTGCTTTCTATCATATCCATCACATCTGGCATTATAGGGTACGTTTGCGTTAGTCTGGGCAACCGTTCAGACGTTTGCGCAAAACATGTAAAAATGCTTTTCCTCGTACAATTTCAGTCAGTTTTGGTCGACTCGATACTTCTATAGCAACCGAATCCAGCTTGTGAATGTACATTTTTTTAAAATTTACGTTATTGTAATTTACGATAATTAAGTATTTACGACAGTAGATTGAAAAAGAATCATACATACATTTTTAAGTCGTAAGCAAACATTCGACGATAATAAAGGATCAACAAGTACACAGACGAGCATAGTTCCAAAATTAAATCAAGGAAGTAAATATTCTCAAAAATAATTAAATTTTGGATTTACCACCACTGAAGTAAATGATGGGAAAAAAAAAGCCCCAGCCCGTTATGTGTCGAAACTTACAAATCTGAAAGAACAACATGTGAAAGTTGTTTCTAAAATTGTAAAATTATTTAGCTATGTTGGCAAAGAATTTTAAAAAGTATTTTCTGGATGAGGACAACTTGGTAGCAAGTTTCGAGTGGATTAGGGATCTATTTCAAGATACTCCAGAAGGGCTCTCAACTTCCGAAGAAGAAATCTTCATAGATTTCACATAGAGTAAAAACTTAAAATTCAATTTTGTAACAAATCGCTCTTTGAATTTTGGCTAGAGGTGGATGAGGAATTCTCTGTACTTAAAACAAAAGCACTTCGTATACTATTACCATTTTCAACATCCTACCTTTGTTAAACCGGAATTTCTGCGGTGGCTGCTTTGAAGACAAAATATAGATCTCAGCTAAATATAGAAAAATAACTCAGAGTGTTAATTTCTGATATTAAACCTTCCTTTGAAAAACATTGCTTTACAAGACAAGCCCATGGAAGTTCCTATTAATTATTAAACTTGTTCTTAATTTAGTATTAAGAAATTATTTATAAAATACCTTCTTCAGTACTGATATATTAAACGTATACTGGTTGAAACACCAGCTCTTCGCACGAGTTAATTTGTTTAAAAAATAAAACATTATTATTGGTATAATAGCTGAAATGTAAGGAGAGTAAAATTGCATGCACGACATTGTATACAAAAATGTGCAATGATTTTTTAGCTAAAATGCTATAATTGAAAATAACTATTTAAAAGAACTCTAATTTTTTAAACCTCATAGAATAATTATTTAGAATTAATGTTAAGTAATAAAAAGAATATAAAATTCCGACGAAGAATAATATTGTGTTACTTTTTAATATTTAAAGCGTGAAGACTTCAAAATGTTTTAAACCAGGAGCAGGCGCGCACTCGATACTAACGCTAATGGTAGTGCGGGGACTCAGTCACCCCAATCATTTGCTTATAATTATTTTTACTGTACACGATACAAGTCGGAATTCCAAGGAATAATTTAATTAAGAGAAAGTATACTTACCGGCTTTCAAGAACTATTCATCTTTTATTTGAAGATTTGAGAAAAAAAATCCAATAAAACTGAACTAAAATGATTCAAAAATGCAAGACCTTAATAAAGGACGCAAATCAGAGATACTTTTCATTAATATTACAGAAATGTTATTTGCTGGCAAAGCTGCCATATTTTGTTCCAAGTTATTGTACTTTTAATGAGCTTTCATGAACGAGTGAGTGAATATTAACGTTGCAATGTTCAGCTACACGAGGGCTTTTGGAGACGGACCTCGTATATATATAATTTGGACCCATGGTTAAGTGACGAGGACGATACTTGAGCTGGCCTCTTTTAACTACCACACCACTCCAACAAGAGGACGTTTGAGCTCTCGACAGATTTAACGTGCATCTCGCCTCTACACGTCGGGTCTTTAGTGGTACTGGGCTCGAACTCGTGACACCTTTGGTGATCAACAAATAGCAAGTTGAACTTTTTCTTTCTTGTGTCTTTTTGACAAGGCGAACTGAACCTTGTTGTACACTTACGACTTCATATTTTAGTTGATGGAGTTCTTTAGGAAGCATTTGAAAATCTTCCTTTCGTTTCATGTTTCTCAATCATGAATAATATGCATTCTTTCAGCAGGTTTTTCTTTTGCTTCATCAGTTTCAACTTCCTTCAATAGAGATCACAGATGTCCCGCGCCACCTCTCCCTGTTTAAAGTTTATTCAGAAAAAATACGGATGATATAAATAACCATACCAGTAAGTCTGATGGTCAATCACATGATTAACAAATGTATTATGCAGCCTGGCTGAAAAGTGAATCATGTCTTCCTTTTCTTTTTCTACAACTAATGTACAGTATTTCAATAATAATTTCAGTGATGAGAATAATAATTTCAGTTTATCTTAGAATTTTTCTCAGGGTCTGGGTTTCGTTTTTCTTTAACGAGTAATATTTTATGTTAAAACGTAAAAAAAAAAAAAAATCTCTCATTCAGGAAATGCAGCAAAAACAAAATGCTTTTTTTTCTTTAATTTGATTTGGGAAAAAAAGATAGCTATTTGATGACGGAAAAACGACAGATGATAAACATAAATTATATCAGTGTTTTTGTGTATTTTGTTTTACTTCTTTCCGGTTATTTTTTAAATCTTTAAATTTTCGATATGCTCGCGCCCCCCTTGTAGGGTCATTGCGCCCCACACTTTAAGAAACACTGATCTAACTTAATTATTTTCATATATTATGCACGTGATTAAAGTGAATAATACAACAAAAGTAAGCGATATCCGTTCAAGAAAGTTCCATAATATTTTCAATCTGCTACATTATTTTATGGGATAAAATTGTAATCCTTCGCCCCATGGTTCCATCCGGGATCGAACCGGAGACCTTTCTCGAGAGAGGCGAACGTCATAACCACTACACTAAGGAGCCCCTCAAGTGGGAGGTACCACCTTGAATTAAAATGACTGACTTAAAGCCTTTACTCTCAATTAGATATCCATATATTATGCACTTCATTAAAGAAAAGCGCACAGTAAAAATAAGAGATATCCACGCTCGTGAATTCCTCCCATTTTCAAAAAAAATTACGTTATTTCATGAGACAAAACAATAACACTTTGTCTCGTGGTTCCGTCCGGGATCGAACCGGAGTCAATTCGCGTGTGAAGCAAACGTGATAACCACTACACTACGGAACCGCTCAAGTGAGAAGGAACAGCTTCAATTAAAGTGCCTGACCTAAAGGCTTTACTCTGCCTTAGATAACATTGCCATTTATTATGCACTTGATTAAAGAAAAGAGTACACAGTAAAAAAATAAGAGATATCGACGCGCGTGAATTCCATCCCATTTTCAACCTGCTATGTTATTTCACTGAATAAAATGAAAACAGTCTACCACGTGGTTCCGTCCAAGATCGAACCAAAGAACCTACTTGCTTGAACACAACGTGATAAACACTAACTAAGGACCCTCTAAACAGGTAGTGAACGAGAGTGGAATTAAACTGACTGTCTTAAAGCCTATAATATAACATAATTATTTTCATATATTATGCACTAGTTTAAAGTGAATACTACAACAAAAGTAGGCGATATCCGCGCAAGAAATTTCCATAATATTTTTAATCTGCTACAATATTTTATGGGATAAAATTATAATTCTACTCCTTGTGGTTCCGTCCGGGATTGAACCGGAGACGTTTCGCGTGTGATGCGAACGTGAAATCCACTACACTACGGAACCGCTCACAAGTAAAAGAAACATCTTGGATTCAAGTGGCTGACCTAAAGCCTGTACTCTGAATTAGATATGAATGCCATTTATAATGCACTTGATTAAAGAAAAGCGTACAGTAAAAATAACAAATACCCACGCGCGTGAATTCCTCCCATTTCCAACCTGCTATGTTATTTCTAGGGAAAAAGTGATAACAGTTTGTCTCGTGGTTCCGTCCGGGATTGAACCGGAGACCTTTCGCGTGCGAAGCGAACGTGATAACAACTACACTACGGAACCGCTCAAGTAAGAAGGAATGGTTTGAATTAAATTGCCTGACCTAAAGACTTTACTCTGAATTAGATATCAATGCCATTTTTTATGCACTTGGTTAAAAAAAAGCGTACAGTAAAAATAAGAGAAATCCACGCGCTTGAATTCCAACCCATTTTCAACCTGCTATGTTATTTCATTGAATAAAATGAAAACACTCTATCCCGTGGTTCCGTCAGGATCGAACCAGAGAACATCCGTGCATGAACAAAACGTAATAAAAACTAACTGCGGAACCTCTAAACAGGTAGTGAACGGCTGGAATTAAACTGATTGTCTTAAAGACTATAATCTAACTTAATTATTTTCATATATTATTTATGTGATTAAAGTAAAAAATAAAACAAAAGTAGGCGATATCCGCTTAACAAAGTTCCATAATATTTTCAATCTGCTACATTATTTTATGAGATAGAATAATAATTCTTCGTCCCACGGTTCCGTCCAGGATCGAACCGTACTCCCTCCGCGTGTGAAGCAAACATGATAACCACTACACTACGGAACCGCTGAAGTACGAGGTAACATCTTGATTTAAAGGGACTGACTTAAAGCCTTTACTCTGCATTAGATATCATTGCCATATATTATGCACTTGTTTAAAAAAAAGCGTACAGTAAAAATAAGAGATATCCACGCGCGTGAATTATCTCTCATTTCCAATCTGCTATGTTATTTCTAGGGACAAAATGATAATACTACGCCCCATAGCTCCCTCCGGAATCGTACCGGAGACCATTCGCGTGTGAAGCGAACGTGATAACAACTACACTACGGAACCGCTCAAGTAAGCCGGAACGGCTTGAATTAAATTGCCTGACCTAAAGCCTTTACTCTGAATTAGATATCAATGCCATTTTTATGCACTTGATTAAAAAAAAAGCGTACAGTAAAAATAAGAGAAATCCACGCGCTTGAATTCCATCACATTTTCAACCTGCTATGTTATTTCATTGAATAAAATGAAAACACTCTGCACCGTGGTTCCGTCCAGGATCGAACCAGAGAACCTCCGTGCGTGAACAAAAGTGACAAACACTAACTACGGAACCACTAAACAGGTAGTGAACGGCTGGAAATTAACTGATTGTCATAAAGCTTATAATATAACTTAATTATTTTCATATATTATGCACGTGGTTAAAGTGAATAATACAACAAAAGTAGGCGACATCCGCGCAAGAAAGTTCCATAATATTTTCAATCTGCTACAATATTTTATGGGATAAATTATAATTCTACGCCCCTTGGTTCCATCCGAGTTCGAACAAGAGAACTTTCGCGTGTGAAGCGAAAGTGAAAACCACTACACTACGGAACCCTTCGAGAGAAAGGTAAAGTCTTGAATTAAAGCGACGGACTTAAAGCCTTTACTCTGCATTAGATATCAATGCCATTTATTATGCACTTGATTAAAAAAAGCGTACAGTAAAAATAAGAGATATCCACGCGCTTGAATTCCATCCCATTTTCAACCAGCTATGTTATTTCATTGAATAAAATGAAAACACTCTGCCCCGTGGTTCCGTCCAGGATCGAACCAGAGAACCTCCAAGCGTGAACAAAAGTGATAAACACTAACTACGGAACCACTAAACAGGTAGTGAACGGTTGGAAATTAACTGATTGTCTTAAAGCCTATAATATAACTTAATTATTTTCATATATTATGCACGTGGTTAAAGTGAATAATACAACAAAAGTAGGCGACATCCACGCAAGAAAGTTCCATAATATTTTGAATCTGCTGCAATATTTTATGGAATAAAATTTTAATTCTACGCCCCATGGTTCCGTCCGGGTTCGAACCGGAGACCTTTCGCGTGTGAAGCGAACGTGATAACCACTACACTACGGAACCGCTCACACAAGTAAAAATAAACATCTTGAATTCAAGTGCCTGACCTGAAACCTTTACTCTGAATTAGATATCAATGCCATTTATAATGCACTTGATTAAAGAAAAGCGTACAGTAAAAATAAGAGATATCCATGCACGTGAATTCCATCAAATTTTTAACCTGCTATATTACTTCATAGGACAAAATTATAACACTTCTTTTCGTGGTTCCGTCCGGGATCGAACCGGTGAACTTTCGCGTGTGTAGCGAACGTGATAACCACTACGCTACGGAAACGCCCAATTACAAAGGAACGGCTTGAATTAAAGTGCCTGACCTAAAGCCTTTATTTTGCCTTAGATAACATTGCCATTTATTATGCACTTGATTAAAGAAAAGCGTACAGTAAAAATAAGAGATATCCACGCGCGTGAATTCCCTCCCATTTTCAAAAATTATGTTATTTCATGGGACAAAATGATAACACTTTTGTCTCGTGGTTCCGTCCCCGGATTGAACCGAAGATCTTTCGCGTGTGAAGCGAACGTGATATCTACTACACTACGGAACCGCTCAAACAAAAAAGAAACATCTTGAATTCAAGTGCCTGACCTAAAGCCTTTAATCTGAATTAGATAACAATCCCATTTATAATGCACTTGATTAAAAGAAAAGTGTACTGTAAAAATAAGATATATCCACGCGGGTGAATTCCTCCATTTTCAAAAAAAAAATTATGTTATTTCATGGGACAAACTGATAATACTTTGTCTCGTTGTTCCGTCCGGGATCAAACCGGAGTCCTTTCGCGTGAAGCGAACGTGATAACCATTACACTACGGAACCGCTGAAGTACGAGGTAACATCTTGAATTAAAGTGACTGACTTAAATTGTTTACTCTGAATTAGATATCATTGCCATATATTATGCACTTGATTAAAGAAAACCGTACAGTAAAAATAACAAATATCCACGCGCGTGAATTCCTCCCATTTCCAACCTACTATGTGTTTTCATTGAATAAAATAAGAACACTCTACCCCGTGGTTCCGTCCGAGATCAAACTAGAGAACCTCTTTGCGTGAACACAACGTGATAAACACTAACTACGGAACCTCTAAACAGGTAGTGAACGAGTGGAATTAAACTGACAGTCTTAAAAAGCCTATAATATAAATTAATGATTTTCATATATTATGCACGTAGTTAAAGTGAATAATACAACAAAAGTAGGCGATATCATCGCAATAAGTTCCATAATATTTTCAATCTGCTACATTATTTTATGGGATAAAATTATAATTCTACGCCCCATGGTTCTCTCTCCCTCCGGAATCGTACCGAAGACCTTTCACTTGTGAAGCGAACGTGATAACCACTACACTACGGAACCGCTCAAGTAAGAAAAAGCATCTTGAATTGAAATGCCTGAACTAAAGCCTTTACTCTGAATTAGATATCAATGCCATTTATAATGCACTTGATTAAAGAAAAGCGTACAGTAAAAAAGAGAAATCCGCGCGCGTGAATTCCATCCCATTTTAAACCTGCTGTGTTATTTCATTGAATAAAATGAAAACACTCTGCCCCGTGGTTCCGTCAGGATAGAACCAGAGAACCTCCGTGTGTGAACAAAACGTGATAAACACTAACTACGGATCCTCTAAACAGGTAGTGAACGGCTGAAAATAAACTGACGGTCTTAAAGCCTATAATCTAACTTAATTATTTTCATATACTATGCACGTGGTTAAAGTGAATAATACAACAAAAGTAGGCGATATCCGCGCAAGAAATTTCCATAATAATTTCCATCTGCTACAACTTTTATGGGATAAAATTATAATTCTACGCCCCATGGTTCCGTCCGGGATCGAACCAGAGACCTTTCGCGCGTGAAGCGAACGTGATAACCACGACACTACGGAACCCTTCGAGAAAGAAGAAACATCTTGAATTCAAGTGCCTGACCGAAAGCCTTTACTCTGAATTAGATATCAATGCCATTTATAATGCACTTGATTAAAGAAAAGCGTACAGTAAAAAAAAAAGAGAAATCCGCGCGCGCGTGAATTCCATCCCATTTTTAAACCTGCTGTGTTATTTCATTGAATAAAATGAAAACACTCTGCCCCGTGGTTCCGTCCAGGATATAACCAGAGAACCTAGGTGTGTGAACAAAACGTGATAAACAATAACTACGGATCCTCTAAACAGGTAGTGAACGGCTGGAAATAAACTGACGGTCTTAAAGCCTATAATCTAACTTAATTATTTTCATATACTATGCACGTGGTTAAAGTGAATAATACAATAAAAGTAGGCGATGTCCGCGCAAGAAATTTCCATAATAATTTCCATCTGCTACAACTTTTATGGGATAAAATTATAATTCTACGCCCCATGGTTCCGTCCGGGATCGAACCGGAGACCTTTCGCGCGTGAAGCGAACGTGATAACCACGACACTACGGAACCGCTCACAAGAAAGAAGGAAACATCTTGAATTCAAGTGCCTGACCGAAAGCCTTTACTCTGAATTAGATATCAATGCCTTTTATAATGCACTTGATTAAAGAAAAGCGTACAGTAAAAATAAAAGACTAATCCACCCGCTTGAATTCCATCCCATTTTCAACCTGCTATGTTATTTCATTGAATAAAATGAAAACACTCTGCCCCGTGGTTCTGTCCGGGATCGAACCAGAGAACATCCTTGCGTGAACACAACGTGATAAACACTAACTACGGAACCGCTAAACAGGTATTGAACGAGTGATATTAAACTGACAGTCTAAAAGCCTATAATATAACTTAAATATTTTCATATATTATGCACGTGGTTAAAGTGAATTATACAACAAAAGTAGGCGATATCCGCGCAAGAAAGTTCCATAATATTTTCAATCTGCTACAATATTTTTATGGGATAAAATTATAATTCTACGCCCCATGGTTCCGTCCGGGATCGAACCGGAGACCTTTCGCGTGTGAAGCGAACGTGATAACCCGCTACCTACGGAACCGCTCAAGTAAGAAGGAACGGCTTGAATTAAGGGAAGTCGATAGGGCCTATACCGACAATGTTATGTTGAGCCATTTTAGGTACAAGTTTCTCAGAAACTGTTAAATATATAAACTTCAAATTTTGTCTGTATATTAATTAGGCTTTTATTTAAATACTGGTAAATATATTTAAAATATATTGTTTACTTTTTTCAAAAAAATTCATAGTAAAAGTATCACTTTGAAATTTTTAAAACTGTCAAATTTTTTACGATAACTGCTTTTCAGCAAAATATTTCAGGAAAGTCTCCAAAAAAATAAGCTTAGTATATAGAGTTACATATTATTTATGTGCAGTAAAAATTGCATGAGCACTCATTCTGTAGATTCTGAGAAAACTGTACCCGCAGTTTGAAAACAACCATTTTGAGATAATTGCATTTTCAGTGTAAAAAAACTGATCACAAAAATAATGAATTACAACAAGTATTTGCCCTATTTTATTAAATATTAGCTTATTCTCTATTAATTTTAAGGCTTTTTAGTTTTTCTTATACTTAGATTTCTCAGAAAATACATTTATAGCATTTTCACTTTTAAGCTATCGAGGTATTTTTAGCGTTTAATTATTTTACTCAAATTCTGTATCAATTTTTGAGGAATTTTCAGTTCTGATACATTACTTTCATCAAATTTTGACTATAAAGCATCATAAATACCATGTGAAAATGTGTTAATACATGAAAATATGGCTTTTGGTAATACATGATTATACACTATTTCGAAAAGTTTCATTAGTGTTTTATATATTCACCTGTTAACACAATGTTTTAAGCAGCAGAATTAAAATTTTCTTTAAATATTTGGTAAATGGTATTCAAAACAACAAAAATATAAAAACAGATTTCTTGAACATGAAATTTATGTATTTTTATATATGTAACAAGCTATGTGCAACGAAAAAAGGCATTGCATTTTAGATATTTATAAACCTTTTACTAAAAAACTATTGAACACCAAAGCTTAAAAATTTGTATAAATACACAATACATATGAAATATATAGTAAAAATTTCCAATTCATGCATACAGTAGAACTATAGAAAAGGAATACACAATTTATTAAAAATTGTCATTTTCTGTGTGTCACGACATATGTTCATTAGTGAAAAATGTCTGAGAAATATTTTTAAAATTTTACATAAAGAATAAAAACATACAATACATATGAAATATATAATAAAAATTTCCAGTTCATGCATATGGTAGATTTATAGAAAAAAGAATACACAATTTAATAAAAATCGTCATTTTCTGTGTTACGACATGTGTTCATTAGTGAAAAATGTCAAAGAAATATTTAAAAAAAAATTTGCATAAAGAATAAAAACACACAATACATATGAAAAATATAGTAAAAATTTCCAGTTCATGCATACGGTAGATTTATAGAAAAAAGAATACACAATTTAATAAAAATAGTCATTTTCTGTGTTACGACATGTGTTCATTAGTGAAAATGACAAAGAAATATTTAAAAATTTTGCATAAAGAATAAGAACACGCACAACAATATATATGTAATATATAGTAAAAGTCTCCAATTCATGCATACAGTAGATTTAAAGAAAAAGAACAGATTACTTGAAAAATATATTAATTAGAAAACACGCTAGCTTTTGTATAAATTTTTACCTCATCAAAAAGATCCTGCACTGTAGCCGGTTTTTACCTTATTTTTCTTAATATTATCTTCTTCTTTCTTTCTTTTTCTTCTTTTTATCTTTTCTAATTTTCTTCGAGCGTCCAGAAAAAGCATAAATTGCTTTCATTAGTCTTTCCCTATCGAGGAAGTTTCATGGCACTTACTGAAAATTCCCCTGGTTCTACGCCCATTTTTTGAAGTATTTTTAATTTCGATACATTACCATCATTAAAGGAAAAAACAGCATCATAAACACCAAGTGAAAGTGTTTCAATCTGTACAAATGTTGCTTTGGGAACACGTGACCAAACGACATTATGAAAACTTTCATTCGGGTTTTGTGTTTTTCCATGCAAACATTTTTCAACAGATCAGGATGGGAAAGATCTCTAAATATAGGACGCATTGCTTCAACAACAGCGACCGGAAGACTGTTTTTATGTTTGTAAGACTTACCTGATGCTTCAGCCTTTTTTAAATCCACACCATGCATCTTCCCCGATGGGACAAAAACCATGTTGAGGATATTCATCAGTTGATAACTTATGCAGAAAATGGCCCAGATAGCTTGCCGCATATTCTGAACACTGCTGTGATTTCTCCGAATAGCTGATCCATAATATGACTGCAAGTTATCAATTTCATGTTCAGTCAAACGATTTTTCCCACTTAAACACCTACCGTCTGACAAGATTTGCCCTTTCAATTGAGCTTTTAATCGGCGTAATCTTGTTCCCATGCGCTTCATTACATGGCCAATACACTCCAATTTTTCAATTGGATATTCATTTCCATAAATGTTTTTCTTTTTTACGCATTAAATGTTTTGCAATCCCCATCTCCTAAGTACGTAATATATCGGGCATTATGTAAAGATAATGACCGTTGAAAATTTTAGACGCACCTTGGATTTCCATCGCTCCACTAGATTCAACGTAGTTCCTTTTACAATCCTTTTCAAGAAAGGCAAGTTTTTACAAGCGCAATATTTCGAAAGAATATCAACATCTATCACCTTACCTGTATCAATGCTGGTCACAGTAACTACACCATTCAAGGATGTGTAACCACGCTTCTGCCATGTCCCATCTACAGCTACTGCTATATTTTTGTTACCTTCATTTCCACAAATAGCTTCCTTCGCAGCATTTTGAATTGAATCCTCATAAACAAGTTTAGCAGCATTTAAAATTCGCTTACCGTAAGGAGAAAATCTTGCAGGTGGTTGCGGAAGATTCATTACGCCGCAGAACATTCTCCTGCTTCTGCACCTTTTCCAATTGAACGCATAGCATACACAAACCTGGTATTTATTGTAGCAATTTGTGTTCCTTCATGAAAATTTGAAGAAGAGAATTCTACACGATATGGACAAGCAAAACATTTCAGAACAAACGTAATAGCCAGTTCAGACTTACCTTTTAAAAAAAAAACTTGCATGTCTAAACCACTGTTGCACATTTTACAGTGAACTTCATTCTTGAAAACAAAAGCAAGAATATTCAAATTCATGATTGTATTTAAAATACCTACGCTATCACCAAAGAAGAAAAACTCTCATTTAAATCGGGAATTTTCTTTTCTTTTGCACATGACTGCTTTGAATCATGTGCATGTTCAGCTTGAGCATTTAATTTACAATCAGTGGTACTTACTTTGCTATTAATAGTATTCTTACGTGGATAATACTTACCTTTGCGTTTCTTGAAAACTTTTTGCAATCTTGGCATTTCAAAATCTCAGAAATTTTAAGTATCGATAAACGACAAGTGCTCAAACACAACGAGTTCGAAAGCGCCAAAAATATAGGTAAACAACCTTAACAGTTACACTTGCAGTTATTCTACAGTTAAAATTTCGTGGGAATAAATAAAACAGATAATGGCTTTGCAAGAGCATTCCAGTTTTAAAAGGCCAATATGTTTCCATTTCTATCTGTCAAAGTAGGCGTGGCAAATCAGTTGATTATTTTTAAAAGACATTTTAAAAACTTCTAATTCAAAAATTGACTAGTATGTTATATCATTGGAAAGGGCTTAATTTGGAGATTTGAGAAATATCAAAATCTCAAAATCGATTTCTGGAATGTGTTTACCATACCGACTGTCCTTAAATTGCCTGACCTAAAGGCTTTACTCTGAATTAGATATCAATGCCATTTATTATGCACTTGATTAAAAAAGCGTACAGTAAAAATAAGATATATCCACGCGCTTGAATTCCATCCCATTTTCAACCTGCTATGTTATTTCATTGAATAAAATGAAAACACTCTGCCCCGTGGTTCCGTCCAGGATCGAACCAGAGAACCTCCGTGCGTGAACAAAAAGTGAAAAACACTAACTACGGAACCACTAAACAGGTAGTGAACGGCTGGAAATTAACTGATTGTCTTAAAGCTTATAATATAACTTAATTATTTTCATATATTATGCACGTGGTTAAAGTGAATAATACAACAAAAGTAGGCGAACATCCGCGCAAGAAAGTTCCATAATATTTTCAATCTGCTACAATATTTTATGGGATAAAATTATAATTCTACGCCCCATGGTTCCGTCCGAGTTCGAACCAGAGAACTCTTTCGCGTGTTAGGCGAAAGTGATAACCACTACACTACGGAACCCTTCGAGAGATAGGTAACGTCTTGAATTAAAGCGACGGACTTAAAGCCTTTACTCTGCATTGATATCAATGCCATTTATTATGCACTTGATTAAAAAAAAACGTACAGTAAAAATAAGAGATATCCACGCGCGTGAATTCCATCCCATTTTCAACCTGCTATGTTATTTCATTGAATAAAATGAAAACACTCTGCCCCGTGGTTCCGTCCAGGATCGAACCAGAGAACCTCCGTGCGTAAACAAAATATTGATAAACACTAACTACGGAACCACTAAACAGGTAGTGAACGGCTGGAAATTAACTGATTGTCTTAAAGCCTATAATATAACATAATTATTTTCATATATATTATGCACGTGGATAAAGTGAATAATACAACAAAAGTAGGCGACATCCGCGCAAGAAAGTTCCATAATATTTTCAATCTGCTACAATATTTTATGGGATAAAATTATAATTCTACGCCCCATGGTTCCGTCAGTTCGAACCAGAGAATTTCGCGTGTGAAGCGAAAAAGTGATAATTACTACACTACGGAAGCCTTCGAGAGATAAGAGTAACGTCTTGAATTAAAGCGACTGACTTAAAGCCTTTTACTCTGCAATAGATATCAATGCCATTTATTATGCACTTGATTAAAAAAAAGCGTACAGTAAAAATAAGAGATATGGACGAGCGTGAACTCCATCTCATTTTCAACCTGCTATGTGTTTTCATTGAATAAAATAAGAACACTCTGCCCCATGGTTCCTTCCAGGATCGAACCAGAGAACCTCCTTGCGTGAACACAACGTGATGAACACTAACTACGGAACCTCTAAACAGGGGAGTGAACGAGTGGAATTTAACTGGCTGACTTAAAGCTATTCTCTAACTTAATTATTTTCATATATTATGCACGTGGTTAAAGTGAATTATACAACAAAAAAAGTAGGCGATATCCGCGCAAGAAAGTTCCATAATTTTTCAATCTGCTACGTTATTTTATGGGATAAAATTATAAATCTGCGCCCCATGGTTCCGTCCGGGATCGAACCGGAGACCTTTCGCGTGTGAAGCGAACGTGATAACCACTACACTACGGAACAGCTCAGAGATAAGAAGGAAAACGGCTTTGAATTAAATTGCCTGACCTAAAGCCTTTACTCTGCATTAGATATCAATGCCATTTATTATGCACTTGATTAAAAAAAGCGTACAATAAAAATAAGATATATCGACGCGCGTGAATTCCATCCCATTTTCAACCTGCTATGTTATTTCATTGAATAAAATGAAAACACTCTGCCCCGTGGTTCCGTCCAGGATCGAACCAGAGAACCTCCGTGCGTGAACAAAACGTGATAAGCACTAACTACGGAACCTCTAAACAGGTAGTGTACAGCTGGAAATAAACTGACTGTCTTAAAGCCTATAATAAACTCTTAATTATTTTCATATATTATGCACGTGATTAAAGTAAAGAATACAACAAATTAGGCGATATCCGCGCAAAAGAAAGTTCCATAATATTTTCAATCTGCTACTTTATTTTATGAGATAAAATTATGATTTTACGCCCCATGGTTCCGTGCGGAATCGAACCGGAGACCTTTTCGCGTGTGAAGCAAACGTGATAACCACTACACTACGGAACCGCTGAAGTACGAGGTAACATATTGAATTAAAGTGACTGATTTAAAGCCTTTACTCTGAATTAGATATCATTGCCATATATTATGCACTTGATTAAAGAAAACCGTACAGAAAATAAGAAATATCCAAGCGCGTGAATTCCCTCCCATTTCCAACCCCCATGCTATGTTATTTTACTAGGGACAAAATGATAACACTTTGTCTCGTGGTTCGGTCCGCGATCGAACCGGAGACCTTTCGCGTGTGAAGAGAACGTGATAACCACTACACTACGGAACCCATCGAGAGATATGTAACGTCTTGAATTAAAGCGACGGACATAAAGCCTTTTTACTCTGCATTTTTATCAAAGCCATTTATTATGCACTTGATTAAAAAAAAGCGTACAGTAAAAAGAAGAGATATCGACGCGCGAATTCCATCCTATTTTCAACCTGCTATGTTATTTCATTGATTAAAATGAAAACACTCTGTCCCGTGGTTCCGTCCATATTTTCGAACAAGAGAACCTCCGTGCGTGAACAAAAAGTCATAAACACTAACTACGGAACCTCTAAACAGGTAGTGAACAGCTGGAAATTAACTGATTGTCTTAAAGCCTATAATATAACTTAATTATTTTCATATATTATGTACGTGGTTAAAGTGAATAATACAACAAAAGTAGGCGATATCCGCGCAAGAAAGTTGCATAATATTTTCGATCTGCTACATTATTTTATGGGATAAAATTATAATTCTACGCCCCATGGTTCCCTCCGGAATCGTACAGGAGACCTTTCGCGTGTGAAGCGAACGTGATAACCACTACACTACGGAACCGCTCAAGTAAGAAGAAACATCTTGAATTGAAATGCCTGACCTAAAGCCTTTACTCTGAATTAGATATCAAAGCCATTAATAATGCACTTGATTAAAGAAAAGCGTACAGTAAAAATAAGACAAATCCACGCGCTTGAATTCCATCCCATTTTCAACCTGCTATGTTGTTTCATGTGACAAAATTATATCACTTAGTATCGTGGTTCTGTCCGGGATTGATCCAGAAACCGTTCGCGGGTGAAGAAAAGGCGATAACCACTACACTAAGGAACCGCTCAAGTAAGTTGGAACGGCTTAAATTAAACTGCCTGACCTAAAGGCTTTACACTGATTTAGATATCATTGTCATTTATTATGCACTTGATTAAAGAAAAGTGTACACTAAAAATAAGAGATATCCACGCGCGTGAATTCCTTCCCATTTTCAAAAAAAAAAAATTAGTTATTTCATGGGACAAAATAATAACAATTTGTCTCGTGGTTCCGTCTGGGATTGAACCAGAGTCTTTTCGCGTGTGAAGCAAACGTTACAATCACTACACTAATGAACCGCTCAAATACGAGGTATTACTTTTCTTTAGTGAACGGCTGGAATTAAACTGACTTTAAGCCTCTACTCTAACTTAATTATTTTCATATATTATGCACGTGATTAAAGTGAAGAATACAACAAAGATAGGCGATATCCGCACAAGAAAGTTAAATTATATTTTACAATCTGCTACGTTATTTAACGGGATAAAATTATAATTCTTTGCCCCATGGTTCCGTCTGGGATCGAACAGGAGAACTTCTGTGTGTGAAGCGAACGTGATAAACACTACTCAACGGAACGACTCAAGAGGCAGGAACGGCATGAATTAATTTGACTGACCTAAAGCCTATACTCTGAATTAGATATCATTGCAATTTATTATGCACTGGATTAAAGAAAAAGTAAAATAAAAATAAGAGATATCCACGCGAATAAATTACATCAGATTTTAAACCTGCTATGTTATTTCATGGGATAATGGAAAAACCCTTTGCCCCGTAGTTCCGTCCGGGATCGAATTTGAGACCCTTCGAGCGTAACAATCGTTATAACCACAACACCTACAGAACCACTACAAAGGTCTGGAACGGCTTGAATTAAAGTGCTTGACTTAAAGCCGACACTCTAACTTTGTTAATTTCATATATTATGCACATTATTAAATTTAAGAGTATAACAAAAAAAGGAGATATATCCGCGCGTGAAATTTCCAACCTGCTAGGTTATTTAATGGGATAAATTTATAATTCTTCGCCCCGTGGTTCCGTCTGGAATGAAACCGGAGAACTTTCCGAGTGTGAAAAGCGAATGTTATTACCACTACACAACGGAACGACTCTATAGGTAGGGAAAGTCATGAATTAATGTGACTGACCTAAAGCCTTTACTCTGAATTAAATATCATTGCTATTTATTATACACTTGATTAAAGAAAAGCGTACAGTAAAAATAAGAGATATCCACGCGTGAATTCCATCCCTTTTCAACCTGCTATGTTATTTCATGTGACAAAACGATTACACTTTGTCTCGTTGTTCCGTCCGGGATCGAACCGGAGACCTTTCGCGTGTGAAGCGAACGAGATAACCACTACACTACGGAACCACACAAATAAGAAGGAACCGCTTGAATTAAAGTGCCTTACCTAAAGCCTTTACTCTGAATTAGATATCGTTGCTATTTATTATGGACTTGATTAAAGAAAAGCGTACAGTAAAAATAAGAGATATCCACGCGCGTGAATTCCATCCCAATTTCAACCTGCAATGTGTTTTCATTGAGTAAAATAAAAGCACTCTGCCCCGTGGTTCCATCCAGGATCGAACCAGAAAACCTCCTTGCGTGAACAAAACGCGATAAACACTAACTACGGAACCTCTAAACAGGTAGCGAACGAGTGGAATTAAACTGGCTGACTTAAAGCCTATACTCTAACTTAATTATTTTCATATATTATGCACGTGATTAAAGTAAAGAATACAACAAAAGTAGGCGATATCCGTGCAAGAACGTTCAATTATATTTACAATCTGCTACGTTATTTAATGGGATAAAATTTTAATTCTTTGCCCCATGGTTCCGTCTGGGATCGAACCGGAGAACTTACGTGTGTGAGGCGAATGTGATAAACACTACACTAACGGAAGGACTCGAGAGGTAGTGAACGGCATAAATTAATGTGACTGACCTAAAGCCTATACTCTGAAGTAGATATCATTGCTATTTATTATGCACTTGATTAAAGAAAAAGTACAATAAAAGTAAGAGATATTCACGCGCGTAATTTGCAACAGATTTTAAACCTGCTATGTTATTTCATGGGATAATATGAAAACACTATGCCCCGCAGTTCCGTCCGGATTCGAACCTGAGACCCTTCATGCGCGAACAAACGTTATAACCACAAACCATACGAAACCACTAAAAGGTAGGGAAAGGCTTGAATTAAAGTGCTTGACTTAAAGCCGTACTCTAACTTTGTTATTTTCATATATTATGCACATTATTAAATTTAAGACTATAACAAAAAAGGCGTTATCCGCGCGTGAAAATTCCAACTTATTTTCAACCTGCTATGTTATTTTATTGGATAAAATTATAATTCTTCACCCCATGGTTCCGTCCGAGATCGAACCGGAGACCTTTCGCGTGTGAAGCGAAAGTGACAAAGACTACCTACCTAACCCTCAAGTGGGAGGTAACGGCTTCAATTAAAGTGACTGACCTAAAACCTTTACTCTGAATTAGATATCACACCATTTATAATGCACTTGATTAAAGAAAGCGTACAGTAAAAATAAGAGATATCCACGCGCGTGAATTCCATCCCCATTTTTAACCGGCTATGTTATTCCATTGAAAAAATTATAACACTCTGCCTCGTGGTTCCGTCCGGGATCGAACAGGTGACCTTTCGCGTGCGTGAACGTGATAAGTGATAAACACTACGGAACCGCTCAACGTAAGAAGGAACAGCTTGATTAAAGTGCCTGAAGCCTAACGGCTTTATCTGAATTAGATATCATTGCTATTTATTATGCACTGGATTAAAGAAAAGCGTACATTAAAAATAAGAGATATCCACGCTCGTGAATTCCATCCCATTTTCAACCTGCTACAATATTTTTTGGGATAAAATGATTAATTCTCGCCCCGTGGTTCCGCCCGGGATGAAACCGGAGAACTTTTCGCGTGTGAAGCGAACAACATAAACACTACACTACGGAACCCTTCGAGAGGTAGGAACGGCTTGAATTAAAGCGACGACTTATAGCCCTTACTCTGAATTACATATCATTGTCATATAATATGCACGTGATTAAAGTAAAGCTTACAATAAAAATAAGAAATTTCCTTTCAAGTAAATTACATCCCATTTTAAACCTGCTATGTTATTTCATTGAATAAAATAAAATATTTGTGTCGCGTGGTTCGTCGGGGATTGAACGGGAGACCTTTCGCGTTTGAAACGAACGTTAAAAACCACTACACAACGGAACCCCTCTAAAGGTACGGAACGGCTTGAATTAAAGTGCTTAACTTAAAACCTACACTCTAAGTTATTTATTTTCATATATTATGCACGTTATTAAAGATAATAGCACAGCAAAAACAGGCGATATCCACGGAAAAGTTCCATCCTTTTTTTTTTCAACCTGCTACGTTTATTTATGGGATAAAATTATAATGCTTCACCCGTGGTTCCATCCGGGATCGAACCGGAGAACTTTCGCGTCTGAAGGTAACATGATAATCACTACACTACGGAACCACTCTAGTGGTAGGGAACGCTTGAATTAAAGCGACTGACTTAAAGCCTTTACTCTGGATTAGATATCATTGCTATATATTATGCACTTGATTATAAAATGTAAAGCGTACAATAAAAATGAGAGATATCCACGCTTGTATTCTATCCCATTTTCCACCTGATACGTTATTTCATGGGACAAAAAAATAAAGTCACTTTGTCGCGTGCCTCCGTCCGTCAAACCGGAGACCCTTCCCACATGAACAAACCGTGATATTAACTACACTATACGGATCCACTCAACAGGTAGGTAACGGCTGGAGTTAAAGTTACTGTTTTAAAGTCTTTACTCTTGATTAGATATGATTGCCATGTATTATGTACTTGATTAAAGAAAAGCGTACAATAAAAATAAAAGATATCCTCTCGCGTCAATTTCATCCCATTTTTAACTTGCTATGTTATTTCATGGAAAAATGAAGACACTTTGTCTCGTGGCTCCATTCGGGATTGAACCGTACACCTTTTGCGTGTTAAGGGGGCATAATACCTACAAACGGCAAAAAACCCATTTTCAAATGTATTTTTAAAAATTAATGCAGTTTGTTTGGAGAATTTTAAAACAAACCGCGTCAAAATCGGACCAAAATTACGGCAATAGCAACAAAAAATGTCAAACGCCAGCACTGGATTGCCCATTTAGTGTACAATAAAAATTAAAAGTAAAAAAACTTTTTTAAAGCAAGCTTTTATTTAAATGCTCTAAAGGAATAAAATAAACTTTTGTTTTAAAACTTTTTTGCTATCAACTTATAAAATCGTTATACGATTTATGATATAAATGCTTGTCGTGAGATTTAAGTACTCATATTTACTTAGTCTGAAAATTTTAAAATTCAAATCAATCATATCAAGTTATTTAATTTGCTTGTTTATGTACACAGGTGAATCTCGGGACAAGCTTTTTATATCATAAATTGTATAACGACTTTATAAGTTGATAGCAAAAATAAGTTTTAAAAAGAAAAATTTATTTTATTCCTTTTAGAGCGTTTAAATAAAAGCTTGTTTTTTAAAAAGTTTTTTTTTACTTTTTTAATTTATTTTTTACTTTTTATTTATCGCTAGACAGAGGTTTCTCAGTCTTTTAATCTCATTCAACGCATCAGTGTTGAAACATCGTTTGCTGGTTAATTAAATTTTTAAAACTCATTCTCATTTTCTTTTTTTTTTTTCTTTTTTCTTTTTTTTTTTTTTAAGCTTTTACTATAACACTATATTAAAAACGAAAACACATTTTTTTTTGTAAATCCGTAATTTTAAACCAATTTTTTTCAATTTTTTGTGTAAAATTTGGATAATACTATTCTACAAGCGAGAAAATATTTTAGCGCGACTTTATTTAAAAATGACGAAGATTTTAAATGTTTTATTCAAAATTTGAGTATTTTTA